TTTTAATGGGGAAAGAAGTCGAGGATATTCGAGACCTCCTGAGAAACTCCGCAGATAACTCTTTTGTATTATTGTTTTTTAGTTTTATAGCTGAATGTCAAGTTTTCTATTAACGTTGTCGGGGGTTATTTGAGACTATATTTTTTGGGTGAAAGTAATTTCAGGTGGACCGAGAGAATAATTCAATGAATTAACCCAGTATTTTATAAAATTCTTTCAATATTCAGTGCGTTAACCCTTTCCCTCCTTGAATGTGTCTGAAAGTTCTGAGAATAAAACAGACGTAACAGAAGTGTACGTGCCTCAAAATGGCAACACAAAGTGATATTTGCATTCTGAAAACCAAATATATCCAGCCACCCAACATCAAATAATCAGCCACTAGCTATCCTAATGAACAAAGAACTCGCAAATAATTTTGGATAAAAATTTGAAATGTCGCGAGTGGGTTGATGACCTGTTCCCGTGGGACTCGAATAATCACCGAAGATTATCTCGAGTGCTCGAAGCATTGAAACCCTTGCGTTCACTCTAAATAATCTCGTAAAGCATTCAACCTTAATCATAAAACGAGAAGACGAGAGAGAGGGGATCGAACGACAATTTGATAGAGGCGGACTGCAGGTACATAAAATACGAAACGATAAATCATGTGACGTCTTGTCTAAACACAATGGCAGTTCAATAACGAATCACTCACGTAAATTTAAGAGTATTGAAAATAGAATAAAAATTGTATGCATCAAGTAATATTTTTTTTTCGATTATTGTATTATTGAATTTAGACTATGAATTCCCGAATGAATTTTATTTTTGAATTTTATGAATTTTATTTACCGAAAGATCGAATATTGCCCAAATCAATTACCGCACATAATTTATATTATTGACGTAAACTTGTTAAGGAGAAATTGCCTGAGCCTGTAATAATAAGGGAAAATAGAAGGAGAAAAAAATAAAATCTGTCGGGCTAATTCGCGTGCGAGATAACGCGAGGGGACAAGTCGGCTGTGAGGCGCAGTACAGGGTTTTTGTTGTGCTATCGTTGAAATGGTCTCCATCGAGTCACGTAGAGTCAACCCTGAGGAGGTGAGAGGGTGAGGGTAACCCACCCACCGAGAGAGAACTGGGAAAGGCCACACTGTCGACTTATGTCGTTCTTCGGACTAAAGGAGATGTTATCAGTGTCCACCCTAACCCCACAACCCCCTTGTAACTATATCCCCCCACCATGAACTCACTACCCTGATGACAATATCGCGTGGCTCCTTAGATAACCGCTCGTGTCATTCCTACATCGACTCAACTCCTTGCCGTTCTCGTTTATACCAATACCGAGGTGGACAAACTCCTTCTCTATTTTTTTTTTTCATCTTATTCCGGGGCCATTTTTCTATTTATGGTGATTTTTTTTTCATTTCGTTGGCAGTCGGACTGTTATGCATTTATTCATGCGCAAGGCAAAATGGTGGAATAGTAAATGGGAATGAAGTTGATTTTCATTTTCGACTTTAGGATAAAGATAGAAATCAAGGAAATCTAATTGGAGCAGAAGAAAATTAATGAAAAAAATGTATCTGATATGGAAATTGTGGCTTCTACATTATCATAATATATTATTGTGTTGCCACATAATAAAATCGATAGGGATTCGGTAAGGGTAATTAGGTAAAAAAGGTATTCGGCAAAAGTTGTCGAATAACAGTCAATTAAAATGATGAATTTAAATATTGAAATATATGTGCAGGTGTGAAATTTGTGGGTGAATTTTGATGAGAGATATGGCTAGACATTTTTTTTGTCGTTAGGGTTGGAAAAATTAGTCATTTGCCCGATGACACATTAACAAATGGTGATCATGCGCGTAATGCTCTAAGATAGGCTAAACTCTCTCCCCTACTGGGTTACTTTGCGTGTTAGGCATTGCTTTACGATTCTCATTTCCCACAACGTCATTCCTACGACCCCGTGGTGGGCAAAGTGGACAAGAATTTCAACGCAAATCCCCACTCCATATACTGGTCATCAGCGTTAATCACAGCCAAAGTCATCATTACATTTAGAAAGAAAAAGGACAGATATTTTTTCCCCTCGTTCCATTGAAATTCAAATTATGGTCGCGTTGTTCATTAGTCGTGACGAATTTATTCTCAACGAGTAGATAAGCGAGGAGAGATAGATGATCAATAAAATAAAAATCACTGACAAATTGAGAGGCAATTAAATTTTATCCCAATTTTCCGTTTTTGTCATGAAATTTTTTTGAACAGTCAAATTTTTCAATGCTGTAATCGAAATTTTTGCAGTGCCGGCACTGAATAATTCTCTAAACAAAACAATGCCTCAGTGCAATTGAAGCGAAAAATCCCGTGTACCTACGTGTACTTCAAATTCGTCACGGTTTCTTCGATTCTTTCTTCACATTTTCGTCTGACTCGTGTACCAAGAAACCCCGAGACTACAGAGGGATTCCAAGATTTAATAACCCTGGGGTAATAAACGCAGTCTTTAGTAAGAGTGTAAAAACAGAAAACACGTTCGCGTCATTTTTTCTGTTCTCTTCCTTTCTCCTCTTTGCCCTGTTCTCCCCTAATGTTAACGATATTGCTTTTTTCATTTATTTTTTTTTCGATTTTTTCCTGCTTTTCTACGCGATTCATAAACAAATTGCGCATAAAATCAACTTTAAGTTGGAAGAGGCGGGATTGAGAGGCAAATTGGATGATTAATCGACCAGTCACACGACGCAATGTAACTCTTTCTTATCAGGAGAATGCGTGCTTCATGATGGTAAATAACAACAACAGGTATAAACCAACTTTAGCCGATAAAATTCAAGTCGAGGAGAAATGCCGTGAAGAATTACGCGGGAAATACAACGAGTGCAGTGAATATTTTTCTGATTGTCAATAATAATCCCAACAAATGAATTTTACTAATTAATCATTCAAACTCTTAATCTGCGGAAAATAAAATGCTACCTAAAAAAATGGAGGGTTGAAGATGAGGCCTTCATTATTATCGGAACAGGCTTCCAAGTGGTGCACAAAAATTGCAGGACTTTTTGCAGAAATTGATTGGTGATTCAATTCTAAGGTTGAGGATTTTTTTTAGTATTGATTAATTTATTTTGAATCGAGGAGAAAGGGGACTAATTAGACGGCGACAAAGGTGTCCCTTGTGTGGGCACAATTGGACGTCAACCTTTCTCTTGCTCGTAGGAATTGATTGGTGAACAAATGACAAATGCAGGAAAATTGCACCGAGTAATTACTCCTCGCAATTGCGAGGCAATAAAAGACCCGACGGAAGATTGTTTTTTATATTTCTCGTGGGTGATTTTTAAAGAAAATGGTGTGATCAAGTGTCAGACGGTTTCAAGGGTTTCTTCGCGAGAATGTATTGTGAGACTAATTGAATTTTTTTTGCGATGATTTTCATTATTCTCGAGGGAATATCAGAGGTAAAGTGTAAACATAATTTTCTTTTCAATTTTTGGAAAAAATTTAATTTCTGGATATTAAATTGTTCATTAGAGATATTTCTCCGCGTGGAAGACTCCAGAAATGACTAATTTAATTATCCGAAATGAATTTTTTGCCGAAGACCCATAATTGTTGAATTTATCGCGTGAACTTGTAATTTATTTGTAATTTGATATCTGGAGTTGTGACTTTGATGTGTAATTGAATACACAGATGCAAGAACGGGTGCAGCAATTTTAGTGCCTCCAGGTGGGTGTCTGGACGTGAAAATCGATACGCGGTTTGATACCATTGCACTTGGAACACCGAGATTGTGAATTATTGATGTGTCATTGAGCATAGGGTCAATTCCCTCATCTCCGAACGTGGGAAGTCATTCATAATCATTGGACAAACCCATAAATACCCCCTAAAACGAATTTACTATTAAACCCTCTTTGACACTTTACCTCCGTCAAAAGATTCTATATTTTAAAATCCTCATGGAAAATAGGGAGGAAGAGATGAATTGAAAAGGAAAACGATGATATCTTTTACCGGCGTAATCCATACATTTTTAATTGAGGTAACCCACTGAGGATCACTTTGGCACAATATGCGGAATAAAAAGACAACGCGTGATTGTTGAGGGCGGAAGCAGGTTTCATCCGTCAAGAAGGGTATCGCATGAGAACTGGTTCCCAGATTTTTTTTGGTATGGCGGTGGGGGTTCTCGTAAAAATAGGTAGAAGTTTAATGTTGAAGAGGGAAAAGACGAAAACGATTGGAATCGTCGCTGGTGTTTTAAGACGAGCTCGTGGAGGAGGTGAAGCTGGTGACCTACCCTCAGGATCATCCGATCTATTCAAACCTACATTCATTCTCTCACGCAGGATGCGAGACAATAGAGACTGCCATCAAGACCTATCCCCAGTACATTTTTTTTTTTCAAATCGCAGAAAAGTTTCTCTGGCTTTTGTCTGTAAAGGGAATCGGAACTTCCGGTGGACTATTGGATTTTTCTCAATGGGATGATATGGGGGAATTTAATGGAAATTAAGAAACTTTTCTGGTTTGAAAAATAAAAATATGAAAATACGAGTTCCGCGAGAGTTCAAACCAATTGGAAATAAAATTCAATGAAATATCACCGCCCGGAAATGGAGATAAACTTTTTCCTACAAAAATTGAATCAAGACTGTCACTTCCATTGGAATGGGCGTGCCAGAACCTTCACCGAGAGCGCGCAATGCCTTGACAAGACAAGACACGGTTTAAAAAGCCCGATAAACAAGGAAAGCGAGGAAAGAAGTCACAAAAAGACATGCGGGTTGGTAAATGGTGGATGCGCGGGCGCTGCTCCGCCTCCGGTGGCTTTTTGAGTCAGCGCCCATTCCGCACTTAACGCTCAACATATTTCTTTCCAAGAGAAGGGGATTTCAGTTATCAGACATTCTGGGGCCACGAAAAAAAATGAAATTCACTCCAGACCATACGAAAAATGTAAAAAAAAAATCAATCAATTGAAAAACTCACCCTGAAGTCTCCTAGCCACCGGTTTAGATCTCATTTTATCTCTCCTCCGCACCCGGAGAACTCACAATTCCATGAGAGAATCCATTGAGCCATAAACAACACTAGGTACAGATCTTCAAGAGGTCCGAAACAAAAACGGCACTTTGAACGTCGAGAAACGTCACGTTATGTCTCACAAAATCACTTTTTGCCCCATTGATGAAGAAGTGATTGAAGAGCAGCTTAAATGTCTTAGGTGAGTCGACGAATTTGTCCTCCAGCAGAGGCTTTCCTGTCCTCCGGTGTAACCCTCCGAGCAGTTGTAGGGTTCTCCAGATTGTCCCCTCCCGAACCTGAGGCTGTCCTCAAACCCCTTCCACAAGACCAACCCGTTAGCCCTCTTTCCCCACTTCTGTCGGGAGGTACATGCACTGTCGCCTGTCCTCCTTCTTCTCGTCTTCTTCTTGCCCTCTTCCTCCACTTCCTCCTCTTCCTCTTCTTCCTCCACCTCTGACGTTTAATTCCCCTCCACCTAGGGTCAGACAGAAGGGGGATAGGGGGTCGGTACGTTTCCCCACTACTTTCAACGTATCACAATTCTGTCCACCAATGATCAGCCGCTGTCTTTCTGAGGAAAGTCAACTCCCGTCGACCCTACGATTCTATTCCAACTTTTGCCTCTCTTTTTCAGGTGAGGATATTACCAAAAACCATTACGAGAACATTGTTTCAACTCTTTTGTTTCCTTTTTCTTGATGACTTTCTGCTCACTACCGACACACCATTTTTTTCACACACTACCATTTTTTCTGGACTTTATTTCTGGACAGCGCCATTATTTATGATTATTTACGGACACTTGAAAATATTTTAATTTCGACACTGTCTTGGGAATTTTTAGAATTGTTTTTAAACGTAAATTTTCACTTTGATTCCTCAGCTCCGATGATTTTTCAAATTGATTTAAGACGGCATTAATCTTGACGTTGCACACTTGCATAAATGGACTGTTTGAGTTGAAACTGGGTAATTGTTTTGTAATAGAGAATTACGATGCTTTCGAACACTACCACCCTTTCCGACTGACTTGGAGACTGGTAAACGTGGGGTTCTTAACTCGGAGAAAACCCTGCACCCCTTAAAAGCCAACACACTCCTGTTGCCCATACGCTCATTCGTCGAGCTCTGAGCGTGCCCAGGCGCCCCACAGGTACTCACATTTTTTTATGCGCAGTTTAGTTCCAGGAGAAATGGGGGAGTGATTTTTTCGACTTTTTTTTTGGGGGGGTGAACACCGAGCTGTAAACTCGACGGATTCACGCATTTTATTCCAGAGGATGAGGAGTTATTAGGTCGTCCTCGTGGCATCCTCTCCAAGTTCCTCATGGCTTGTCGCTCGGGACACTGCAAAATAAATAAACAATATGATAAATTTTTTATAAATTTTGGAATCATTCAACTTTATGTCTATCGAAAGAGGAAGAGGCGGAGAATGGCACTTTAAATAGAATTTCTGTCCATTCACGGGTATCCATTGTATATGAATTTACGAATGGATGAGTCATTTGCAAACGAATTGATAACGCCTCGTCGCCTCTTATTTCCGATTGCCATCCTGCAGATAACTGCATCATTATAATTTTTCATGAGTACTTTTTCTCATTCTTCGCGCATTTCGAGCTATTGTTTGAATATTAGCCAGTAATTTCGTCAAACCATTATCCAATTGTAACCACCCAGCTTCAAGTTATTCTATAGGAGATATTCAAAAAAAAATTGAATTCGAATTTTCTTTTATCTTATTATGATATTTTCTAAATGAAATAAAAATGAATGATTTTTTAAAATTCCATTAATCGATTTTTCAGCCATTTGAAAAGCATCAGAATAACTTTTGACAAATGAAACAATAGTGGGAAGTCCATTCAATAATTTATGGCTGAGCCAAACACTTAAGAGTCCAGATCGCACGTTCGACAATCTCTTCAACAATGAGAATACGTCCGACTCGTTATTCTTAGCCCCCGAGCATGAAATAAAACCACTGAATGTCCTCTCGAGATGACTTTTCAATAAACGTTCCTTTATTAACGCTCATGGCAGTGAGACAAGAGCGTAACGAACGAGCGCAATATACGATTGGAGGCAAACGTGACCGGAATTCGTGCCCAGAAGCGCGTCCAATAATATTTACAACCCACCAAGAAGAAGTGGAAAGAGTCATTCTGACTACTGTGGAGTACACTACCTAGTTTCACTATATAATAAATTATTTCAAATTTTCGCATTTGCCAATTTTCTGATTGACACATGATTATTTAAAAAATTACCTAACAAAAAATTTCCTCTTTTCCAATCGTAAAGAGTCATTCCTCTCTCCGCTGGTTAATTTTATGTTACGTCTGCTCCATTTTGTTTGTTTTATTCTCTCCACCAACTTTCGTGTACTCATGGGAGAGCAACACGTTTTACGTCAACTGAAGGGATCCATTCCAGAGAAGAAAGAAAATGTCACGAAAGTTATGAGCAAAGGAGGGGAGGATAGGGGAGTCGGTTTACAAGGCAAATGCCGAAAAAACCAAGACGAAGTGATTTGGATAGGGTTTCTGAAACTTTTCACCTGTGAACTTCTTTTTTGTTTCAATTAATTTTATGGTATTTACTAGGACTAGTTTTTGGGTTGCTTCATGAAAATCTATACGCTAAGAAAGATTTTTTATTGGTGCTATGTATTATCTTGCGAGAAATATAATTTCTCTTTGTAACTTGTCAATTTCTGTTATCCTAAATCTTCGGACACTACTGGAGACTTTCCTTTCCAATTTCATGCTTCCAAGAACTCACATTTGCCAAACCGGAAGATTGTAAAAGTGCAACTCGCGAAGTTATTGAATATCGATATCCCTAATCTAGAGTTCAGAAAAAATGAAAAGAAACTCTAGCACGAGATATAATTCCTGCCATCCCTCACTCACAATCGTCGAAAATACTTCAGGAAATGCAGAAATAGCTTCGGCCAAACAATTTATTTCCGAAAATTTTTTGCAATTAATTTTTATCCTCGAATGAAAAATATTTCGATAGCATCGAGAATCACACGAAAGAAGTAAGAAAATATGTGAAAGGTTTTTCTTCTAGATCGATAGGTAGTGGAGTGGGAGATTGGCCTTTTGGCGAAGGGTCGAGGAAGCGAGTGGTTTTTATAGTCAATGAAGGACAAGGGTGGGTCTACGATTCTCCGAGGGTATATACCACTCGACCAAAAGTATCCCTAATATACGTCATCCCTTAACGGCTCACTTGCCAGCAGTCCTCAATGCTCCTTACATCCAAATAAATGTTCAGCCATACGATTCCGTTATGATTTTCCCCATCAATTTTCCACATCAATTTATCGATTGATCGGAACAAAAATAGATTGATTGCAAACGATTCCCACGCGATGGGCGAACAATTAATATATTTTCATCGGTTCGTTTTGCGTTCCCTGAGTATATAAATCTCAAGTAAATAAAAAAAATCAGGCCAAAGTTTAAAAACCCCACGTGGTGAAATAAATTCCTCTCTTTAATTGTTATAAAAGTTGGAAAGAGTCTAGATGTCGTGCAAAGTATATCCAAGACGGTTCGCATGTCATATCAGTAATGATCAGTGGTCGGCATATGGGTATGTCTGAATAATACCGTGATACTACACCTACATATCCCTAACGTCCTTCTCAGCTATTTCGCTATATACTTTTTTTTCCACCCAAGTGGGATATTCAGTTCGCATGCTTGGAAACTGATGTGACCAGTGAGACCGCCTCGTCACAACATGCGAACTGACCCAAGACCGCTATCTCGACTAGCAATGAGGAGTGCTAAATGTAGAAACAATACACCAAGAGAAAAGTACAAGAATTTTTGCGGGAAAATCTCAGGAAAAATTCGAGTACGGAGTTAAAACGAGGGGAAAAGTACCAGCACTCTGAAAATCTCACAACTCGAGGCCAGCACTAAGTACTGGAAAAAATCCTCCTCATATTTTATGGTACATGTGCAGAAAGTTTTTGAAAGAATTTTAGCAATTATATTGAGGCGGAGTTCTAATTTTTTCAACTCACATTAAAAAATTATATTTTAGAGATAGTTCCTATTTTACTGATTTTACATTTAATTTCATGTCGAGACTCGATAGTTTTTCCTGTTACATCAAACGACGGAATTGCATGCACCCTCAATGATTAATTGGCTTGACTCAGCTGATTTTTCACATTTTTTTTTTCGCTGAATTTTCAAGGTTTACGGGTGATTAATTAATGGAGGAAAGGCTTGTGTTATCGTATGAGAGTTAATGTGCAATTATCCTATTTCTAAAGCCCTCGTACTGTGGATTGAATACCGTGTTATTAGGCTTATCTCCCAGTATGAATTATTCAATGGTAACTTTTATTCATCTAGGCTGAGAATGAATAGCAAGCTGAACATTGGGAATAAGTTTGACATTGACTCCTCGAATAAAAATTTTAAATACAAAATTGCGAAGATTCTAGAGAAAAATTATTGAGAGTGAAATAAATTTCCAGATATTCATGGAAAGCAGGCGCTTATTTGTCAGTTGGCGGAATTGGTGGATTCAATAAAAAATCATTCAATTAATTTAATTTCACCCTCCACGAGTCACAACGAGGATGAAAGACATGGCAATGATTAATGGAATACGGGGGAAAATTGAAAAAGAATTTTCCTGTAATTAATTCGGAGGAAAATGTCGAGTAAATCTAGAAGTTGTTGAGGTTGGGATCGAAGTAGCAAAAGTTTTCTACGATGTGAGCGTACTAATTAGAAGATCTAGGCGAGCTGAGCGTCACGACGAGGTTAATTGGACACGTTTCCGAAGCACCAACTGGTGCGACGAAGGTCTCAACTTTGCCCAAGTCCTCACTTCAATTTTTTTGTGGACGACGGAGGTATGTGACCTCAATGTACCTCGGAGGAAAAGAATTGAGGAAAACCAGGAGGAAAAATTTAAGAAGAGGCATATGTCACCGCATCATTGATTTTACACCGAATCCATTACCATCTGCCCATCCAATATGTCATACATCCGTTAGAACTCGATCACTTCAAAGAATTTAATACCTCATAAAATTTCCCATTTTTCCTTCCTCACCACTACAGATTTTTCTCCTCCACATGTGACAAATTCTCAAATTGAAAAAGTGAAATTGACTCAAATAGATGATGAAGAAAAAAATGGTCTCGGTCGAAGCTGGGGCTGAAGAATACGATAAGTGGGTTGGGATAACTAACAGCCAAACGAATGCATCACAGAGTGGGCATTCGGATGGAAAAACGCAACTAAATGCCAGTAATTGGAGGCAGGGGGTGGCTCATGAGACTTCACTCGTGCGATTTCACTTTGTACCCACTTCACCCCCTACCCATATGGTATGTGCCTTTTTGCCGACCTTTTCAAACTGAGATTTGCGGTTTAGTTTGTAAATTATCGCATTTAATTTTCATCGGACGAAGAACTGGGTCACGAGAGTTATTTCTACTAATTGTCCATGTTATTTGCACAGATTTTGGGTGGAAATTTCGCATTGAGAGTCACATTTTTAATGAATCTGGGCGAAAATACAATTGAATCAATTAAATTTTTGAAATAAATAGAAATACTTCGCTCAAGCAAATGAAAAATGAGAATGGAACACTAATGAAAAATGTAATTGAACTCTCAAGCTCAAACACCATCCAAATAATAACCAGTAGTTACACCCCAACAATAGCATCTGTAAACCACAGGAAAATGATTTAAGACGCTCTGGTTTCCCCCCCGAATGTATACAAGCCCCAGAAGCGTTTTGAATTGGGCGTGTGCTGCCCTTGGCTCTCGTTGTGGTTTTGCCTCATTCGAAAATAGAGGGAGAGAGATGAGGGAAGAGGAGAAGCAACGACTGTTTTCCCATCCCTTCGAAACCAGAATCATATCCCAACTCCCTTGCATCCCATACTTTGAATCTTACCTTGCTCTCACCAACTCCCTCCTGAGACCTCCAACGCTCAATCTGTATTGCCACTGCAACCCTCGGAGCTATTCACTGATTCAAATTAATCACAGCCACGAGCCGAGGCGCCCTCAGAATTTGCCCCATCATATACGTCTTCTGTGTGTGCACACGCCAACGGCGAAAACCCCAGGTCTCATCCGACCATCAAACATTCAAATGGCGTCTGCTGGGTGAATTCTGCAAATTCATAATAATGGAAGAATCAATATCAGTTGCTGATTCCCCTACTGTTCGTAAAAAAAAATTCCGATTCATCTCCAATTTCTTCCTGAATTTCTGCCGAAATATTTTTTCCAATCATTCTTTCTCCACCGTTTTTTCCACTGAATCAACTCAAAAATCCTCACCACCACCCACCCCGTCAAACCTGAGTGCTACACCTTCAAGAATTAGAGCACAACATTGAAAAAGAAAAAACCTCAAGAAGCCTGAAGCGTGGAAAGAAAAAGAGAGAACAACTTCTCATTTTCCTCCGTTTCATTCTTTCATGAGTTCCCTCAATCCTCGATGAATCTGCGAGGCGTCTCATCACGCAACATTACCCTTCTACCAGAGTCACCCCCAACCACCCATCCACCCACTCCCTCAGCCATTTTTTCATATTCTTTTTCTTCATCTTCAATTTTTTTTTCTCTCAACTCCTCGAGTGAACCCCTTGCATCCCAGCCACGCAACATTAAGCCCACTCACCTCACCGTATTTTTCCCTGGATTCTATTGAGTCTTGGAAGGTTCTCTACCCCCTCAACCCACTCCCTCTGAACCCCACCCCGTTATTTTACCCACAGCAACGTCGGGAGAGGGAAGCAAGAGGTCTCGTCATGGTGTCTCTATTGATCCTCCTCTGGGCTCAGAGACGCGCGCAACCATCGTCATCTACCCAATTCCCTTTTTCCCTCTTCTCCTCTTCTCTTCTTCTCCACAGCCCTCTCACCCTCTCATCCAACGATATCCAACGAGTTGAGGAGGGGTGTACCATAAAATCCAGCAACCAGAGATCCCTCGTCTTTCTCATCTTCTTCTTTTTCTACGGGGTTCTCCTTCGTCCCATTCTGTCCATTTACTTTTTTTTATTTACTTTTTCCCTTTTTCCCTTTTATGTCCGGGGGAGGAGTGACGAGACTGGGGTTGATGCAGAGGGTGGAGATAGTGGAGACTGGGGTGGGAGTGATCCTCAAAAACCAGAGGACTGGAGTCCCCTGATAAAACTGTTGTTCAATGTTCTAATAATTTTCAACTTTTTCACTATGAATTGATGGAGAGAAAAAATTGTGGAGATTATGATTCAGAAATGGAATTGACTGGTTTTTTTCATAGAATAATTAATACCACAATATTTCCAGTCATTCAATAAATGGAAAGATTTCTTATCATCCACGTCTTTGATTTCTCTTTCCATTTTTCATCCGATGAATTGGCGCAGTTCGATTACAACCCGACAGTATACTCGAGTTTTATTGCTATTTTATCTGGGTACTGAGGCATGCCCAGGATTGATGGGGCTACACTGGTTAATCGAATGCTTATTCTCTAACTTTTGCGGATCCTAGACTGATGGCCATTCCAATTATTCTGCACGAAAAGGCAGATTCGCATTTATATAAAAATTCAATGAAAAGACAAGATGAATCTCTGAGAATCTCTGGAGCCAATAATACGCCTGAGGGAGGATTCCACCCACATTAATCTGCAGACCCGGCAATCTCTGATTGGTCCCCGGAATCTTCCGCTGCCTCCCCCATTTCACTTGTATCTGGCAGTGAGTATCGTTGGTGTTTTAGCTTGATAGGTAGTTGTGTGCTGTCGAGTGGCATCAACGAACATTCCCATTGGCCCGAGGAGGAACATCCGTGACTACTGGTTGGTTGGTTAAAATGCTGTGGAGCATCTCCCTGTGCTCATCCTTGCGACTGCGCTCTTTTACGATGATTCCAGACAGATGAGAAGCAAAATGGTTGATCTTCCAGAAGTCATGTCAATAACTCTAAGCAATTCAGCACTCGATAATTTGTTGATGCATCTATTTATAAAGGATCCGGTGTTCCATGAAAATGGAAACTAGACTCAATCTACTTGAAATGAGCCCTCAATTCCTCCAAAAATAGCCAACCCATTCCTCGAAACCCTGATGATCACGAACTGCGAGCAACTCATATCCATCTCCCATCAAAATCACCTCTGTCTCCCCGAAATAACCGTCGAAACGTGTTAGTCATACATCCTGTCGTACATCTCACCACAAAACCCAAAGCTATAACCGTACACAGTATATTAAACACGCCTTACGTCCACCATTAGACGAGGAGACATGAGGTAAAAGTGACTGCAAAAACGTGCTGCATATACTCCGAGAAAAGAGTCATAATGAGAGTCAAAAAGGAAAGGCAAAAGAGGAACGAGCCTTTTTTCCCTTTTTTTTGCTCTCCCTGTTCCTCTGTTTCAGCAAACAAATGAGTCCTCCCCCTGCTCTCCCTTCTGTCCCCTCTTTGGCTGCAGTGGAGATTAAGGCGGGAATAAACTGCGTTCGCCGGGTGCATCTATTCATACACCGGTGCCAGGACAGAAGGAGAAATAACCGAGAGCTGGGGTAGAGAGAGAGAGAGATAAAGGCTTGGCAACAGTGGCCACTTGCTCGGGGGATTTTGCTAGCAACTCCAAGGGCCAAATGGCTACGGAGGTGGGAGAGAATGCTGGAGAATCGCAGAGGGAGATGGTATGATAATTGAAGGCGAAAGGAGGACAGAGGGTCGGTTGAGGTGGGGTTGATGTGCCTGAGGAGTTGGCGGAGGTGCGGGAGGGATCAACCGTTGCCATGACTACTTGAAACCGCAGCCGTCGACATCGACAATGAGAGTTTGGTGTCACTGACTCCTACTGGTACACAGATATTTCGTTTACTCCAGATATCTTATATTATTAAATGAAATTGTCTCGATATGTGTGAGCGAAACAAATGTATGTTCAGCAGATCTCATTTTTTCTCTCAGTGTGGATTTTTCTAATGACTGAAATGAGCAGAGGTTCCGAAACAAAGGATTCCCTTTTAACTGCTCCTACCCATTCTTCTCGTGAACCTCCTACGCAGGGTTTTAAGACCCCATGGCTATATCTCGGAGAGACGTTGAAATTAGATTAAGACTTCCAAAAATAAACTGACGACATATATTCGATTGTGTGTTTAGTGGCAGTAATGTATTATGACGAGAAGGCCGAGACAGAACCTCATGAAAGATGAGAAGTTAAGATCAGAACAAAAAAATCCTATTTGTTTCCCTAAAGTGATAATTCTCTCGGGAATTTTTTCTCTCGATGTTTTTATTTACATCCCATTCTGAAATCGCTACTAGATCTTTATCACCGTGATGAAAATTCCAAGACAATCATTTTTAAAAATCCACGTTATCACCAATTGTCCCAAGACGATTCTCCCCTCAAGATCCATAAAATCCGGCCAGCACCATTATAAAATTCCATAGCCATCGAACCCCATTACTTTATTGATAACAAGATAAAATCTCCCCTCCCGCAGAAAGAGTAACGATGCTCATACCAAGTTGCGTCTGTATGCCGATTCACTTCTCTGCGGTTTCCATGGTAACTCTGAGGAAAAACCTATCGATTCTCCCTTCGGTCTCCTGAAAGAACTCTTTGAAAGATCTCCCTTCAACCCTGAGGTAACATTCTTCTCCTCTTCCCAGTTCGCTTACTCCTCCCTCCAGACAACTTGGCATTGCCCCCCCCGCCCGCCCCGTGGTGTTCACACGGGGCTCTAAAAAGTGATCGTTAAAGAGGTTTATTCCACTAATAAGACCAGACTCGTGTGCTTATTGAAACAATAAAGAATTTCACGTCTTGTCCCCTCGTTCCTTCGTACCTCTGGTCTGTCTTTTTTTTTTCTTTTCTTCTACGACGGGTGTTGGGTTCAAAGCCAAGATGGCCGTTTTCCAAGCGTCTCAGGGGCTGGTCACGCTTGGATACACGAGGTACGTGAGTCGATTACAGAGCAAGCACCGATCAAGTGACGATGGATTTATCGTGCGGTTATTGCGGTTACTTTTTTTCCAGTCCACGATTTTGATAATCAAAGGGAGAGCTTGTATTATCTGAGGTTCGAGCTCAGCGGTTTGATCCATCTTCTTGAACTTGATGAGAAATTCATTGATGTAATCCTTCAGACAGCTATATCATTCATTGCGACGAGATAATTACAGCCATAAAATACAAAAGACAAATACGATTTCCAACCAATTACATGTTCACGTGTCATCCTTCCATGGCTACAGTTTACCTCCACCTAATTACGGAATCAATTGTTAGGGCCAGACCTTGCCGGAGACATTGAGTTAACCCCTTTCGAATTGAGAAGGATATTGATTCTCCTGTTTCCTGTCAACACAGTCCAAACGTCGCCGGGATATAATCAAGCCAGAGACGATTCAGCATTGGATTGTAGAGCATACCCTGTAACATTTATCCTCCAAGGGCTTATTGCTAGCATTGTATGCCATCTATCCGCTGCATGTTCCTCATCCGTCTGCTATTCACTCTCGACATTTCCGAGTCTCTCACTCTGTTGTTGTCCAAGAGACCCTTTTCATTGTTCCCAGGGAAGCACTTTTACCACAAGTCTTTTATAGCCATGAAAATCCTGGTCCCTCGATTCCTCAAGTAGAAACGGCGACGATGGGGTCTGCCATGTCTCAATGGAAAACACATTTATCCTTTTTAAAGATCTTCGCCAATTGAATTTTTCACTTCTCTCGGTTGATGTTGCGGAGTCGTTGCACTGGTGATAATTCTCATATCAATTTCCGGCAATTATTTATAGTCACCATTTAAACCCGTTAATCAGTCCTTTTTTTCTCGTCGCGATTTAAGGAAGACATTTGAAATTCAGATTCGTTATCCAACAGGCGAAACCGATATTATAGAGCGAAAAACTTTAAATCCCACTAATAATGCGAAATCTGGGTAATAAATACAGTACGTGGATATCACACTTCTGGATCGGGGTGGCATGTCCCATGGTCTCGTGTGATACTGGTAATAGCTTGGATCTAAACGTACCTGAAATACACGTCAGGTGTTCGAACCAAGTCTTATCATACCTTCGAACATATTTCATATCACTGATGAATTATTCTTGATATGAAAATTATATTTTCCATCAATTATAATTTTGTTTTCTCCGCAAAGTTATTCCAATGAATTTTAATTTATTTTTCATCTCTGAGAAAATTTTTTCGAGGGGTTTTTGATTTTTTAGAAGTCGCAGGAATCGAAATCGAGACTCACTGGAATTAATTGGAGATACCAGTGTCAGTGGGTCATTGAAATTCCACTCAACATGTCGCACTGGATAATTCCGTAATGCGTGGATGTCAACTGGCACGCGTAAAGATTCTTATCGCCTTTGAAATCACTGTCGTGCCACACTCGTTATGTCCACCTCCCATCGATAATTATTCCACAAAGGGGTAGCATAAATAAAAATGAAACTGGGAGAATGAGTTCTCGTGAATCGACTATCCGTGTCGGCTATAAAAATTTTACGAACGTCTTCGAGCACGCAATAATTTTATTTTCTTTTGAGAAATGAATCAATATCTAGTTTTCCAGAAAAAGAAAAATTTTTGTCGAAGGATGTTTGACAAGAAGATCACCAAGTTGCCCTTAAGATGGAAATGAAACCCTACTTCTCAAATCCTAAGCCACAAATGGATGAAAATATTTATAAGATGACTCAAAAAATTAATTGAGGAAGGCAGAGGAAAATCCCATCATGGGACATGGGATACACTCTATTTTATATCCACAAAAACGTGGAAAAAGTGTTTTTATCGAACTGATTAACAATCTCATCGACCAACAGTGGACAATAAAAAGGTTAAAAATTGTCTTAACCTTTTTTTTCCACCCCCTGAGACAATCTCGACCCACCTTGGGTTGTTGGCGTGTCGTGGACGATATGGGGAGATCACCAGGAGCAACCAAAGTGGATAGCGTGTCCGGTATCACGTTGAGGGATCGCAGGAGACATTTTGTCCACTTTTATTTCTCCTACCCCCTATCCACCAGGAGTCAAGTCGTCCTGAGCCCAGCAAATGACCATCGCCTCACGTCACTTTTATATACATTCAACACCATTCGATTCTTCAGGCGTTCTCATATCTTTTCCACAACTAAAACCCTGGGACTAAATCTGATGAAAAGATAACCGAATTTATTGGAGTACGGTCGAAGGGAAAAAAGCACCACCTGATAGTGAAAGTCGCACGTGAGGGGTTGGAATACACTGGACAACTCAGGGGGTTCAACTTCCGGTGACGTTGTGCTTCGAGGGAGAATCATTTTCTTGACTTTTTCGTGATTGTTTGGGGGATTAGGCCCATGTAATTATCATATGTAATCACAGGAGCTGCCAAATCATTAGGACAATCTTCAGGGAAATACTCGAGGGTGAGGAGATTTCTGAATTATGATGGAGTCATTTTGAGGACGAATTATTAATGAGTATGATTTGAAATCATCTGACACCTAGGCAATATTTTTTTACTCATGACAAAGGATTTTTTACTTGGGGGCATCAGTGCATCCCGAGAAGAATTTTTTTCACTTGAATTTCCACTAGCAATTATTTTGCGAGAGGAGATAGAAAAACAATAGTCAAATGGCCAACCGACAACCAACGGAATTTATTTGTCGTCTCAGATTGTGGGAACAAAAGAAAAATGGACTGTACCTCTTTCATGACGCCAATGAAGAATATCACTATTGTCGTTAATAATTTTATGGTTTTTCCGTGTTCACTATTAAATAATTCAATATCAGCACATAATTAAACTCTAATGTTTCTATTATTGTCCCGAAATGCCCGAGGTAAAACACCACGCACTACCATTGCCAATTGGCGGTCCGAAAATCATGAAACGCTGCGTTCCCTCCAAAATTGTGGGAGCGCTGTAAACACTAGACTATTGCGTCACCTTTGGCGGAAGTCAAGGATAATACTATTGTCGTTAAAAATATTATAATTTTGTTCTTTCTAAAATTATTTAATGTCGGCAAATAATTAATCTAGATTTTTTATTCTCCCTCAATTCCTAAGACGCAATCCCCCCAAAATCATTTTTGTATGTGTATTCACATATATTCGCTTGCAAGTCTCTAAATTAATCTCTCTGATTTCCTGCAATTATTTTCCCCTATCCAATATCACATTATCAATTTATTCATACTGATCAAGACGATAATTAACTTCTGACTCACCCTTTTGCAGACCTCCAGAGAAACCCAAAGCACCAAATCCTTGGCCGGAGGTCAGGTAATGCGATCCCTCATCCATTCGAATCTCCAATTTCGAAACATCAAGACGTTATTCTCGTATTTTCATTTCGTATTTACACCAGGAGTTGCCACTGCTCTCGGTAGAACATAAACAAGCCTCAAATCGTACACCGGCACCACAAGACATGTTGTGTCTTTCCAATTCCTCTCACAACGCTTTGATTTTTCACAATTATCTTTCCAATTCCTCTCACAACACTTTGATTTTTCACAATTAACTAAAAAGCTCCCCGAATATATTCAGAGAATATTCAGAAGTCAAACTGAGATGTAACGACTCTAACTACTATGCAAATAATCACTCTACACGTGGGACGCTTGCAAAACTTTTTAATTGAATTAACTGAACCTTACTCTTATCTCGGAACGTCCACTTTGGATAATGATGAGGTGAATTAATGAAGAAATTAGGGAGTTATTTATTTTCGCGGTATTTAGATGAATAGTGAAGAGAGAATATTAATTACGTGAGTTTCAACGGCACGAACTGGACGCTTGAGGTACTAGCAGCGCCATCTTGTCCAATACGGCACAAATGGAGGGGGATATGAACACGTTCGGACTTGCAATAGTGTCTTAACAGTCGTCGGTGCACCATTTGCTCACGGTAATATTCGTTTATCGAATGATTTACGCGCACTGTTCATTTTCGAAAAGATTTAACAACAAGATTTAATTATTTATTTTTATAATTATTTGCGAGGAACAAATGGGAGGGAAAAAATTTCCTTTGTTCTCATCTACATTTTGTTGTGAGATGAGATTACTGGATTATTACCGAGTCTGTCGATTTATCGATTTATTGTTGATGTCGTAGAGAAACACGAATTAATTAGTCGATGATTTTTCGAGTGAAAAAAGACACTGCGAAAGGGGGAGGTGAGTTTCCTTTGTTTCCGAAATTCGGGGGGAGAGAGCGGCGCGGCGTGCAGTGCGCGGGGAAGTGAGGGGGGAGGGAAAAAACAATGGAAAAAGTTGAATTTAATTGTTTATCACCCGTAAATAATTTTATATTGTAAAAGGGGAGTTCATAAAATTATTAACAATAATTATTCATGATTGCCAAGACTTGGGAGCGCCTAAAAATGGGTAACAATACATTTTTTCGGTGTTCCCGCGATTTTGGAGGGAAACTAGATGTCGCCGGTTTTCGAAACATCACTCTGTTGTTGCAGTTGGGGAGGCAGTTTGCCTCGGGCTTTCGCGACGTGTACTGCTCAAATCTCATTTTAATTCTTTTTTAATATTGAATAATTATGTAGTAAAAAAGGGAATATTGAATAATTATGTAGTAAAAAAGGGAATGTTGGAGAATTATTAACGAGAATGGTGTTATTCTTGAATAACGTCAACAAATACGTAATATTTAAGAATGGAAAAATTCAAGTGCAAGTGCAGTAAACAATTTGATCGGGAGTTTATAAAAATCGTTAACTAACAATTCAATATTGAAACGAGTTCATAAAATTATTTTTGATTTTTCGAGTGAAAAAAAACACTGCGGCAAGGGGGGAGGTGAGTCTTCCTTTGTTTCCGAAATTCGGGGGGAGAGAGCGGCGCGGCGTGCAGTGCGTGGTGAAGTGAGGGGGGAGGGAAGAAACAATGGAAAAAATTGAATTTAATTCTTTATCGCCCGTAAATAATTTTATATTGTAAAAGGGGAGTTCATAAAATTATTAACAACAATTATTCACGAGTGCCAAGACTGGGGAGCGCCAAAAAATCTGTAACAATACATTTTTCCGATGTCCCCGCGATTTTGGAGGGAAACTAGATGTCGCCGGTTTTCGAAACATCACTCGGTCGTTGCAGTTGGCGAGTCAGTTTGCCTCGGGCTTTCGCGACGTATACCGCTCATATTTCATTTTAATTCTTTCTTAATATTGAATAATTATGTGATGAAAAAGGGAATATTAGAGAATTATTAACGAGAATGGTGTTATTCTTGAATGACGTCAACAAATACGTAATATTTAAGAATGGAAAAATTCAAGTGCAAGTGCCGACAGTAAACAATTTGATCGGGAGTTTATAAAAATCGTTAACTAACAATTCAATATTGAAACGAGTTCATAAAATTATTTTTGATTTTTCGAGTGAACAAAAAACACTGCGGTAAGGGGGGAGGTGAGTCTTCCTTTGTTTCCGAAATTCGGGGGGAGAGAGCGGCGCGGCGTGCAGTGCGCGGTGAAGTGAGGGGGGAGGGAAAAAACAATGGAAAAAATTTAATTTAATGCTTTATCGGCCGTAAATAATTTTATATTGTAAAAGGGGAGTTCATAAAATTATTAACAACAATTATTCATGAATGCCATGACTGGGGAGCGCCAAAAAATCTGTAACAATACATTTTTCCGATGTCCCCGCGATTTTGGAGGGAAACTAGATGTCGCCGGTATTCGAAACATCACTCGGTCGTTGCAGTTTGCGAGGCAGTTTGACTCGGGCTTTCACGAAGTATACCGCTCGAATTTCGATTGATCGGGAGTTTATAAAAATCGTTAACTAATAATTTATCATTGAAGGGAGGAGTCCATAAAATTATTTTTGATTTTTCGAGTGAAGGAAGCATGGCGGCAAGGGTAGAGTTAAGATTTTCTTTATTTCTAAAATTTGACGGGTGACTGCGGCGCGGAGGAGCGAGTGGGAGAGGGAAATAACAAAAGAAAGAGGCCAGTTTAATTTTTTATCGCCCGTGAATAATTTTATATGGTCGAAGTGGGAGTTCATAAAATTATTAACGACAATTATTCATGATAGTCCAAAATGGCGGGAGTCAAAAAAGGAGTAACAATTAATTTTTCGGTTATTCCCGCGATTTTCAAAAGAAACTAGATATCGCCGGTTTTCGGGAATAAATATCAATAGTGAGTTACAAAATCAATGAAAAAAACAATTATTATTAAGAGAAGATCTCCTCGTATTAAATAACAAAATTTTTCGACTAACTGACAAAAGTAATTTCCATTATCATAACACGGTAAATTTTTCTGCTGGTGGATATTACCCATTGAATCTGACATCGCAGTTCCTGGAACTGCCGAGGCATCTCGACAGTCAAGTGGTGGAGCGCGCGCAGTATTACCAACGCATGACCATTCGGCGCATACTCGTTCGTCTGTACGGTACATTTTCTTACTCACTCTTATCCAAGTACCTGGTTCCACTCTGCTTGAATATTACCCTCTCCCCATCCGACGCGCGTGTCTGTTAAAGGACAATCGGGCGGTCGTATCAGCCACGTGATTCGTGTGACAGGAATTTACCAGTTCTCGACGCAGAGTGACACGAGTACATCGTTGCGCTCCAAGTGTACCTTAGAAGGCCCAACAGTCAATGCACTTAAAACAAAACAAAATAATAAGCCACAGTGAACGAGGAGGTGGAGGAATGAATAAACAAAAAGAGGAACAAAACAGTGTGTGAGCTTGAAGGCGTTAGTGTTGTGTTGAGTGCATCGGCTGCCATTTTCCGTTGTTGAAATTCGCTCGATTAAATCCTCGTTTTTCCCGATCGTATTTAAATTGACGGTTAAAAAAAAAAAACGATAATTAACGAATCGATCATTGTCCTTGGGTTTTTGTTTTAATTTTCGTTCGCATTTTTTTTTGAGTCATTCGCGCCGGGAATAGTGTGTGCTTGTGATGATATGACTGAATAAAAAAAAAACTTTTTGTGTATATTTATTGTGATTTATGTGGGAGATATCACTGGATCTGGACGTGTCATCTCAACGAGGCGGGAAAGCTGCGTTTGAAACTGGATCGCCGACCAGGGTGAGTCAACCCTTTGAATTATTCTGAACTTTTTTTGTCTTGTTGTGCCGGGGGATTTTTTTCAGACTGATGGTTCTTGCGAAGGGGTTTTTAATCCCTCGGGTACTCGAGACGTGACACGTTGTTCATTAGCAATGACGAGAGTCATCTCGGTGAAACTCGACAGGGGTTTCATTAATTTCCGAGGGAACGAGATTCCCGGGGAATTGATTACGTTGAGGTTTTATCGTCGAGAATCTCTTGTTGTTAGGAATTTTTTTTTTTCGAGGTGAAGGGCTGATTGAATTTCTTTTTGGAAAATTTGGGGAGTCAATTAGTTGTGGTGATGTACTTTTGGAATTTTTATGTGAGAATTTATTTCTCTTTTGATGTATATATTTTCATCATTCCTCGTAGAAAGAAGGCAACAGCGTTTTCTGCTCTGTTTTGATGTTAGAGTTTTATGAGCTGACAGATGGATTTAGATCTTTGTTGTGATGGGTTTGAGGAAATGTAACGAGTGTGTTTATACGCAAATGATCTATGACCTCATCCGGCAATGAAATATTTGTATTTTTGGAATTGTGAAGCGCCTTTCTTCATGTATTCCTTGTCTAGAGGATGCATATCAATCTTTCAGCGTTCATTGAGAATTCATTTGTGTTAGAGTTTTTTTTCTTAACAATTTTATTCGGCACTTATACATGTAATTGGGGCAAATAGTTTTTGTCGTGGAGAGTTATTGGAGAGAAGTCTATTGTAAAATGCTTTGTCATTGTTTTGGCGGGTAAAGTTAGTTTTAGTACTTGCTGAAGTTTAATTGCTTTTCACGATGCAGGTGATCATCTCCTTCGTACCGATACCCACTCTCACCAGACTAGAAACTAGGAGAAACATTTATAAATTTCTAAAAGCCACGCGGCTATAATTTCTCATAACAAGTTAGGTTTTTTCCTCACTTCATCTCATTAACGTGATATTTTATAGGGACGAAATATTTGGCGCAAGAAATTGGTCTTGGGTATGCAATTTTAATGGACACGTCGAGCAGTTGATAACAATCGAGTATTTTGGACGTTTTTTTTTTCTAAAAAATTCTTGTATTATTTTAATGAGTTCCGACGGTTTTCATGTCGAAGGAATAATCAAGATTTATTCGAGGAATACCGCGCGATTTGAATCTCGCGTGGAGGTTAGGGTCGGTGTTGAAAAGGGGATCCTGGATTTTTTCAGGGTTTAGAATTTCACTCAAGTAATAGGTTCTATAGCTGATTTTTATTGACTGGAGTAATTCCTCTTGTCAAAATGGATCGATGAATAGGCGCGTGGGGGCAAAAAGAGGAGCATATCTCCAGGTAACGAGGTCTCTGTAATTTTATTTTCTTGGTAACAGTCGCTCTGCTGTTTCCCTGGTTTCGGTTTTTTTTTCCACCATTTTTCTACCATTTATTCTACACTTTTTTCACGTTTATATATATATATATGCACATATATATTTTTTTCTATTCGTTTACGAGGGTTGGGTTGTCCAATTGCTGTGTGGAACTGTTGGGTATGTTTGTTATGT